TTTTTTTAAAGGTTTTTTAAGGTGAATTGAATCGGTGTTTTATGGATATTTCGGTATTTAGGACACAAATGGAGCTTCATGGAGCAGAACGCTCACAGTTTGTCATTTTTGGCTCCAGAAACTCACTTCTTTTACTTTCACTGCAGTTACTGAACAAATCTGTAGGATTTCTGACTTTTTCTTCTCAAAACTGAGGACTCGTTTTATTAAACTGACCTTTATTTTTGGAAAAAATGTAACTATACATTAGTGATTTGGTCATGTTTCAGAAAAAGGAGAAAAAAACAGAAGTATTTAGTTATTTTTCTCCCAAAAACTGCTGATCTGTGACTTTCTGAGCTGAGAGCAGAAATCTGCTGACCCACTGACACCACCAGGATTAACTGGAGGCTGAATCGATGGAAATGTGGAGCTTTTAGGGGGTGTGTTGGCTCTGTGAGCCGTGGATGTTGGTCCCACAGACCTCCACCCAGTGAGGGAAGCAAACTGAAAGCAAAACAACACCGACACAGAAAGACGATACAGAGAGAAGCCAGAGAGGAAGAAAAGGTGCTTTCTGCCTCCGGCTGCCTCTGGGCTGACATCACCCTGTTTGCTTTGGACCTCCGCTCAGGTGTGACTGGTGTGAGCACAAACACTGCCCCCCCCCCCCCCCAGCCACCTGCTGGAAGGCAGCCAGCTGTTGACACAGCCGGGCCAGAGACGTCAGGCTGGGATTAGGAAGCAGGGAGTGGAAGCTTCTTCTGTGCTCTGAGGGCAAACAAGACGCTGTGTGTGGCTCTCTGTACATTTATGAGCACAAAGAAAACAGAGAAGAGCAAATAAACAAGATTTATAGAGATGTTTTTGGCTTTTAAAAGCATATTTTCATTTAGCTGAGATTTGTAGACCTGCAGCACCACCAATGGTCGGGGGGGGGGGGGGGGGTCCAAAAACATCCCCTCTAATCTCCTTAGAGCACATCTCAGTGGATTTACACCACAAATCTCCAGACAAATAAACTCCTGAACCAAACAAAGCACCTAATAAGCTTTGAAACCGGCAGAATTTTAGGAGCTGTGGCTCTTCCCTCCGGCCAGGTTGACGTTTTTTGGGAGGTTTCAGTTTAATTTAGTGCTAGCAGGCACTTTTTTAAAGCTTTTCTCCAGACTAGCCTCCATCTGCTTCACTCAGAGACAGAAAGGGGATCAGTTCTGCTGTCAGGTGTTTAGCAGCTGCTCACAGGAGGTTTCACTTTAAAATGATAAAAGGCATTGAGATTACCTCCAAATTCTCCAGATTCATCGCCACCCCCCCGCTCTGAAACATCTGCCTCCACAGCTGGCTGTGAGCAGACTCAGACGGGGGCCTCAGCTCTGTTTTCAGGCTGCTTTGCCACCATCAACCTGGCAGAAATTCTCCATTTCATCAGAAGCTCCAGCTTTTATTTGAATCATGACTCAGCCCCGGTCGATATGGGGAGCTTCCCGTAACCAAATAATAGAAGAAGGGACCCCCCCGTTCCCCTCATTAGGCCGACTGGAATTCCAGCACAAAGAGACTCAGGCAGGCAGAGAAAGCGGCCCTCTTCCAGCAAGCAACCCCCCCCCCCCTTTCTCCAGCTCTTTTCACACAAACGGCTGAGGACTGACGATGACTCGGACTCAGAGGATGACAGAGCCAGCCTTTTGCTCACAGGCGGCTTTAAAGGATGACTCAGCCTCCCTCAGAGCGGCTCCTGCCCTCTGCTGGCCACAGGCGGCACTGCAGCGTCCTCCAGAGGGGCCTGTTTGTGGGATTTAACCCTCTCCTCTCCTCTTGTCCCTCCAGGTGAGGAAGCACATCACAGACCTGTACGAGGACCTGAGGGATGGACACAACCTGATCTCCCTGCTGGAGGTCCTCTCTGGAGTCACCCTGGTAAGGACCCCTCACCTCCAGGGCCTTTAACCACTCATTTTGTAGCGACTAATCTTTCAACAAATTTTTCGATCAGTTGACTATTCTGAACTAATTTCCTTTTCCCCTTCGAAAGGAAACTTTCCAAAGAGGTTTTTACTTATTTTATTAATTTGTGGGTTAAAATTTTTGGCGCTCAGGTGATCGAAATGTAACCGAGAGAATTGGGTAATTTTTCAAAATAAAATATTTGACAAAATAAACTATTATTCAGGCTCAGAGAACGGAAACAATTGTTTATTACTTGGTGGCCGGCCGGTGTCAGTTGATCCACGGCCTGGTACCCAGAACCTCTGGATTTCAGGACCAAAAGGAAACCACTCAGTTTGGATTATTTTAGTTGAACTTGGATTTTCATTGTGTTTTTTTTTTTTCTCATTTATTAGATTTTTTTTTTTTACAGGACAGAGATTCCTGCTGAGAAATACAGAAACCCGAGTTAATGACAGCAGTAATATCACATGGGGGAGGAGAGGTGCATCATGGGAGCATAACTTTGGGTCGTTGCAGGGTTTTTGAGCCAGTTCTAAGTATTTAAAGAGCCTGAGAGTCTCTGAGGGTCTGATTTTAGGTGAAATGGTTGGTTTTCTCCCTCATCCATCTTCTCCATCCCGTGGTGTTTCAGCCCTCTGTTCCTCTCTCTCTCCCCCTTCTCCCCCCTTCTCCTCCCCCCCCCCCCCCCCCCCACACCCGGCAGCTGAAGAGCGGCCCCGCCTCCAAACGGGCGTACGCCTCGCGGGCCCCCCCTCCGCTCATCCTGCTCAGAGGGCAGGAGGATGAGGAGGAGGACGGAGCTCAGGGAGTATGTTTGAAGCCCCGCCCCGTCCCCCCACCCCCACACTGCTCACCCGTCACCTTTGACCCCCGGCTTCACCCTCAGCGTGCTGTGCATGAGATGCACTCATAGTTTTCTGTTGGGTTTAGACGTTTAGCTTGAAGTGAGGATGGAAACAACAGCAGAGCTCAGACTAACAGGCTCCAGTTTCACTGTGTGCTTCTAACACAAATGAGTGATTTTAGCCCAGTGCAGTGGACTAACGCTGATATCAGCAGTCTCACCCCAGTTTGGCCCCAGTTTGGCCCTAGTTTAACCCCAGTTTAGACCCAGTTTGGCCTCATTTTGACCCCAGTTCGGCCCTATTTTAACTCCAATTTAACTCCAGTTTAGACCCAGTTTAGACCCAGTTTGGTCCCAATTTAACCCCAGTTTGGCCCCAGTTTAACCCCAGTTTGGCCCCAGTTCGGCCCCATTTTATCTCCAATTTAACCCCAGTGTATCCCCAGTTTAGACCCAGTTCGGCCCCAGCTTGGCCCCAGCTTGGCCCCAGTTCGCCCCCAGTTTATCCCCAGTTTAGACCCAGTTCGGCCCCAGTTTATCCCCAGTTTCGCCCCATCTTAGCCCCAGTCCGGCCCCAGTTCAGCCCCAGTTTGGCCCCTCCTCAGCACGGTGTGAGCACGTCTGCATCCTGCACTTCATTTCTGGCAGCAAACGTTCTTCTCATTTCCTTCTCAAACTTCATCCTCTCACCACCTGAACCAGCCGCTGGGTTTCTGCCAAACTGCTGCTTAGTTAGAGGCTCTGAGTGGAGTTTGTGTCTGAGCCGGCTGGGTTTGACCACCGACGGGGCCCGTCTGCTGGAGACGGCGCCCCCCAGAGGATCACGTCTGTGTGGACTCAAACCGGCTCCATCTGCACCCACCGCTGCTCTGAGCACCCGAACCAGAAGAGCCTGGCCTCTTGTTCTAAGCTTTCCTCACCGGGTCTCTCCTCTTTCTGTTCCAGCCCAGAGAAAAGGGGAGGATGAGGTTCCACCGGCTGCAGAACGTCCAAATCGCACTGGACTTCCTCAAACAGAGACAGGTACTTTCACTGTGTTTTAATGGATAAACATGGACAAAACTAGCCCCATCCTTTATGGTTTGAACTACACTGGGTGTTGATGTTGACCCAGAGCTCTTTTTCTTTTACTGTACATGTCAAAGAAAACAGAGAATATTTTAATTGTGCGAAGCCAAAATGTCCAAGCTTTCAGTGGGTACCTGAAAGCACCATGTGTGGGTGAAAAGGGATCCTCACAGATGCAGGTTTTAGATGTTTCCTTGCTTTAAGACCTCATTCAGATTAAACAGATCTCTAAAAAGGATGTGATCACATCTGTGAGGCTGGAGGCAAAACTATTCAAATATTTGAATCGCAATAAGAGGTTCAAAGGCACCTGAAAATATCCCTTTTTAGTTATTTTTCCCTCCATAACTTAAAACAAAACTGTGAAACAAATGGTGACACAACTCTCTGAGACTTTTTCCGAGTTCAGTCTGAGTTTGAAGTGTCTTAAATGGTCTGTAAGCTCAGACCATCCGGTTTGAATCTCATCCGAGTGTTTAGTACTTAGTATTCGAAAGCTTTTTTTCTCAGGTTTCCACTTGACTCTTGCTTGTTTTCCCCAAGAACAGAGCAGATGTTTTTCTCTCACTGCCTCACATTTCCTGCATCCTTTGCTTTGCCATCAGTTCCCGTTGAATGCACAGAAACTTTAGACTCCTTCTGTCCTAAAATTTTAGGCTCTGAAAAGGCCCAACGTTAAAAGGCGAGCTGATGGTTTAACAGCGTCCTGTTTGCAGGTCAAACTGGTGAACATCAGGAACGATGACATCACAGACGGGAACCCAAAGCTGACGCTGGGCCTCATCTGGACCATCATCCTCCACTTCCAGGTCTGTCACACACACACACACACCTGCTGGCCTGGCTTTGGGAACTGCCTGTGGTCGTCCTCAGGAGGATTTAGAATAGTTCGAATGACCAGCCAAACCACAGATTTGGGCTCTTTCAGTGATTCCCAAAGTGGGGACCCACAGTTGATTTCCAGAAATAGAATAAAAATTTAAAAAGGGTTAGAAATAGCATATTTTAGCCATGATTGTAACAGTAGATAAAACTAGTGGATTGGATAATAACTGGATAAGATCACTGAAATGAGGGCAGATCATGTGACGTCCGACCTGGAGGACGCACTGGTTGAACTGTCAGGCCACAGAACCCTGAAGGCAGCGTTTAGTTCTAAGACACTGGCTGAGTTGGCCACAGCTATCCAGGGCGGTTTGGATGTGCTGAAGCTGTTTGTGTGAAAATACTTTCTTGGCACCTTAAAGACAAATGCAGATCGCTGTTGAATGTAGAGGATAATCTCCGAGTAGCGTCTCCAACGTTAAACCGAGACTGGACTTGCTCTGCTCCAGGCATTG